TAGACCACCCTTGGTGCCTGCTGGGGAAGACTGGCGTGTGAATAGACTGAAGCTCTACTACTCCAGGAAGGGATTGTATGTGTCATGGAGACCCAGGAGTCACAGGAACAAGAGCAAAATTTCCTGGTGGAGGTTCCAGTTAATCTATGCAATTCACAGATTTTAGCTGATCTCTCTTCTAAAGTTTTACATCTTTCACAGTTACAGGTTGAAGATGTCAAGAGGATGATTCTGAGGGAGGAAGTGAACCATTTGATTCAAAACAAACTCGTCGAACCAAGTGACAGTGACTGGGCGTCACCATGCGTGCTGGTGCCAAAACCCAATGGCTCCTTCCTCATGTGTACAGACTACAGATGGGTAATTGCTGTGACCAGGGCTGACTCCTACCCTCTTCACCGTATAGAAGACATCCTTGACAGCATCGGGCCGGCAAAGTTTGTCACGTAGCTCGACCTGATGAAGGGGTACTATCAAGTGAGGCTGACGGAGGAATCAAAGAGAATTACTGCCTTCATCACTCCTGATGAACTTTGGCAGTACAAAGTCTTCCCATTTGGGCTTCACAGTGCCCCTGGGACATTCCAGAGGGAGCTGAATGTGGTGAAGTCTGGGCTTCCTGGTGTCTGTGCCTACTCGGATGACCTGCTAGTGACAGCAGTTACTTGGGAGAAATACAGGGAGCGACTTCGTGCCCTTTTTGCCCGCATTCAAGAGCACAACTTCACTGTCAAACTGGCTTAAAGTGAGTTTGGCTATGCAACCCTCACCTACCTTGGCCAAGTGGTGGGCCAAGGGAGGGTGGCTCCAGTCATCGCAAAGATAGAGGATCTACAGCGACTACTGCCTCCTTCAGGTTGTAAAGCTCTGTGTAGATTCCCTGGTATGGCAGGATTCTACCAAAGATTTTGTAAGAACTTTGAACAAGTGTCGGCTCCTTTGACAGACTTAGTCAGCCCAAAAAGAAGGTATTTGTGGATAAAAGCATGTCAGGTTGCATTTGAAACCCTTAAACAACTGTTAAGTTCAAGTCCAGTGTTAAAAGTGCCAGATTTTGACAAGCCTTTTCTGATCCAAGTTGATGCCTGCAATGTGGATGTGGGTGCTGTGTTGTTACAGTTTGAAAAAGGTAGACTACACCCAGTTTACTTCCACAGTGTTACACTAAAACAACATAAGCGTGGTTATACCACAATGAAAAAGGAGGCTTTGGGGCATTTGTTGGCTTTAGAAAAGTTTGCAGTGCATTTTGAAGGTTCACCATATCTGGTAGAGGTGTATACAGATCAATCCTTTACAATTTGTAGAGATAAATAGAATCAGAATACTTAGGTGGGCTTTGCACTGCAGCCTTCAACATAAGTAAAACATAAAGGAAAAACAATCTTTTGGCAGACACCCTGTCCCATGATGTATAAAGTTCCTTTTTTTGTTAGTAAACTTTTAAATAAGATGGGGAAGTTACGAGTGTCTGCCATAAGTTTCTGTTCTTGTTATGAAATATATTGGTTCGGATGGTGTATGGTTAGCTCGAGCAGTTTTGCTCATTACTCGCCCACAGTGAATGATCCGTCATTTAAGTATTAACTTTGTTTATTACATTGTGTATTTATTGTCTTATGTTTGAGTGTATTATATTTGATTGTTAGAGGTTTGTATATAGGTTAGATAAGTGGAATTAATGTCAGTAATATTTAAATAAAGTTTATGTTTTGGCCAATCAGGATATGCTACATCAGTATTTACTTGTGAAAGTAAATTAAGCTGGTAAGTAGTCAGTCTTTGCTTCTTAAGTAAGGTAGTATCTCTCTCTCTCTGGTGTTTTGGGTTGGCATTTGTGTGTTTTGTTTGTAATGTGATTTTGTGTGATCTTGTTGGACCTTCAGTCCTTTCTTAGCCACTTCCAAACATCTTGTCGCATTATTATTATTATTTTATTTTATGTACACTACTTTTAAAAAGTTCGGTGCAGGTGAGATCGATGAGTTCTGAAATGATATGACACTGTGATATATGGGAAGGTTGGTAGTGTATCTCCATACCCCCCACTAGGTGTTGCCATATGGCTGACAAACATAGCTGGAACAACTCGCCTTTCCCATTACTTATCGTCACTGGTCTCAAATTGTTCACTCTACAGTATGCACCAATACTTTTTTGTTTGCGCGAGTGTACATATGTGGTGGTGGGAATTATTTAATAAATTTTCATTGACTTGTTTAGGTTTGGACCTGTTGAAACTGACCTTTGTTGGGAGAACTTGGGATTAAGAATACAGTATAATAATAAATACTGATATATTTGAAAGACTTAAGGATTTGTGTTGATGTAACGATCTACCTCGAATTCGTAACAGTATGAATAAAACTCCATAAGTAAAACAACGTTATGGTGATACTGTATGTCCATTTTGAGGTCTGTCTCCGAAACACTTCCATTTAATGTATATTTAAGTGTTGCTGTATCCATCTGTCAATGGCATGTTTTTATATACCTTGCTTCTATCCAGCATGATACATAACATTAACATAGCTTAAAGGATTTCTTTTATTGAAGTGTTCAGACTGCCATACAAATCACGACTCCATCCCCAAATCCTATTCCCAACTTTAACTGTTGCTGATATGGTGAGCAGGGGTACCAACTTATGATGATCTAATGGGGATCATATCAAGGTATTTCAAATTGTAGCAATGAAAAAATCTAACGATACTTTTTGAGGGGACTTCATTAAGTTGGGGTGCATAATAAAAATTATTTAACCCTGTTGATGTAGTATCTCACCTGTGACTGCTGATAACTGGACAACACATCTTGTTGATCATCACTACAGCTGTCCATTGACTTACACTCTACCAGCTTCAAATGATCCTGTAGCTCTGAGAGTGTCAGGGCCTCCATCACCACCTCCAAGTCTGTTTTTGGGGTAAATAGATTAGTTAAAACAATGCACCTCAATTTTATTTATTTAATCTTTTATTAGTATAAAAGGTTTAAGCTAAAGAGAACTTGATTTTGATTGATGAATAAATATGTTTACATTATAATTAAAGCCAACTATGTCTCCACCAACTGACCCAACCAACTGTGTCTCCACCAACTGACCCAACCAACTGTGTCTCCACCAACTGACCCAACCAACTGTCTCCACCAACTGTGTCTCCACCAACTGTGTCTCCACCAGCTGTGTCTCCACCAACTGCCAACCAACTGTCTCCACCAGCTGGCCCAACCAACTGTCTCCACCAACTGCAACCAACTGGGTCTCCACCACAGCCCACCAGCATCAATCCCACCAGCTGACCCAACTGTGTACCTGCCCCCCACCAACTAGGCCTTGACCAGCATGTCTCCACCAGCCAGCCCAACCAACTGTGTCTCACCAGCTGACCCAGCAACAGCAATGCTCTCGGCCACCCAGCTGTGCTCCGCTTATGTCACCAGCGGCCAGCCAACTGTGTGCTCACCAGCGGCTAACCAACTTGTCGCAACTGTTGCAACGTGTCACCAGCACCCCGGCCACACGCGTATCGCGGCGATATATCGCAGCCTACCAGCTGTATGTCCCAGCGGACCAGCTGTTGATATCACCAGCTTGTGTCGCAGCAATGACCGCACCTGTTATCCGCAAATGATGACCAACGATATCGCTGACTGACCAGCGTGTCCGACCAGCTGTCTCACCAACTACCCAACCAACTGTAATGTCACCAGCTGACCCGACCGGTAATGTCACCAGCAGGCCTGGCTGTTATCCAGCTGACCCCACCAACTGTGTATCCACCAGCTGATGACCAGCGATATGTCCCAACTGCTGACCAGCGTTAATGTCACCGGCTGACCCTGACCAGCTGTTGTGTCACCGCCCGACCAGCTGTGATGTCCACGCAGCTGACCAATGTTGACCCAACCAACAATGTCACCAATGACCCAACCAACTTAGTGTCTCACCAACTGACCCAACCAACTGTGTTCCCACCAACTGACCCAACCAACTGTGTTCCACCAACTGACCCAACCAACTGTGTCCCACCAACTGACCCTACCAACTGAGTTCCACCAACTGACCCAACCAACTGTGTCCCCACCAACTGACCCAACCAACGATGTTCCACCAACTGACCCAACCAACCGTGTCTCCACCAACTGTGTCTCAACCAACTGACCCCACCAACTGTGTTCCACCAACTGACCCAACCAACTGTGTTCCACTCAACTGACCCAACCAACTGTGTCTCCACCAACTGACCCAACCAACTGTGTCTCCACCAACTGACCCAACCAACTGCAGTTCCACCAACTGGACCCAACCAACCGTGTTCCACCAACTGACCCAACCAACAACAAGGTTCCACCAACTGTGTCTCCAACTGACTCCAACCACCCAAGGTGTCCATCAACTGTCTCCACCAACTGTGTCTCCACCAACTGTGTCTCTCACCAACTGACCCAACCAACTGTGTTCCACCAACTGTGTTCCACCCAAGTGTCTCCACCAACTGTGTCTCCACCAACTGTGTCGTCACCAACTGACCCAACCAACTGTGTCTCCACCAACTGTGTCTCCACCAACTGCAGTTCCACCAACTGTGTTCCACCAACTGTGTCTACACCAACTGACACAACCAACTGCCTCCACCAACTGGTGTCTCCACCAACTGTGTCTCCACCAACTGTGTCCCACCAACTCCTTGGTTCCACCAACTGTGTCTCCACCAACTCTGTCTCCACTCAACTGTGTCTCCACCAACTGTGTCTCCACCAACTGATGTCTTCCACCAACTGACCCAACCAACTCTGTCTCCACTCAACTGTGTCTCCACCAACTGTGTCTCCACCAACTCTGTCTCCATCAACTGTGTCTCACCAACTGTGTTCCACCAACTGTGCTCCACCAACCTGACACCACCAACGTGTTCCACCAACTGTGACAGCACCAACTGTGTCTCCACCAACTGTGTTCCCACACCAATGTTCCACCAACTGTCTCCATCAACTGCATGTCTCCAAATCAACCGTGTCTCCACCAACCTTCCACCAACTGTGTTCCATCAACTGTGTCTCCATCAACTGTGTCTCCATCAACCGTGTCTCCATCAACTGTGTCTCCATCAACTGTGTTCCACCAACTGTGTCTCCAACTGCTGAGCACCAACTGTGTCTCCACCAACTGTGTCTCCACCAACTGTGTCTACATCAACTGTGCTCCCATCAACTGTGTCCCCACCAACTGTGTCTCCATCAACTGCTCCACCAACTGTGTCTCCACCAACTGTCTCCATCAACTGTTCCACCAACTGTGTCTCCACCAACTGCACAGCAATTCAACTGTGTCTCCACCAACTGTGTTCCACCAACTGAAGTCTACATCAACTGTGTTCCATCAACTGTGTCCCCACCAACTGTGTTCCATCAACTGTCTCCACCAACTGTGTCTCCACCAACTGTGACACCACCAACCGTGTCTCCACCAACTGTGTCTCCACCAACTGTTCCCACCAACGTGTCTCCACCAACTGACCCAACCAACTGTGTCTCCACCAACCTGTCTCCATGAACTGTGTCTCCACCACTGACCCAACTGTGTCTCCCCACCAACTGACCCAACCAACTGTGTTCCACCAACTGACCCAACCAACCGTGTCTCCACCAACCGCGTTCCACCAACTGACCCGACCAACTGAGTTCCACCAACCGACCCAACCAACTGCGTCTCCCACCAACTGATCCCAACCAACTGTGTCTCCACCCAACTGACCCAACCAACCGTGTCTCCACCAACTGTCTCCACCAACTAGTCACCACCAACTATGTCACCACCAACTGTGTCTCCACCAACTGTGTCTCCACCAACTGTGTCTCCACCAACCGAGTCACCACCAACCGTGTCACCACCAACTGTGTCCCATCAACTGTGTCTCCATCAACTGTGTTCCACCAACTGTGTCTCCACCAACTGTGCCTCACCCCAACTGTCACCACCAACCGTGTCTCCACCAACCGTCACCCACCAACTGTGCTCTCAACACCAACTGTGTCTCCATCAACTGTGTCACCACCAACTGCTCCACCAACTGCATGTTCCACCAACTGTGTCTCCATCAACGTGTCACCACCAACCGTGTTCCACCAACTGACCCAAATCCAACTGTGTCTCCATCAACTGACCCAACCAACTGTGTTCCACCAACTGACCCAACCAACTGTGTCTCCACCAACTGACCCAACCAACCGCGGTTCCACCAACTGTGTCTCCAACTGACCCAACCAACTGTGTCTCCATCAACTGTGTCTCCACCAACTGTGTTCTCAACTAACTGTGTCTTCTCACCAACTGGACCTAAACCCAACTGTGTCTCCACCAACCTGTTCCACCAACTGTGTTCCACCAACTGTGTTCCACTAACTGTGTCGTCACCAACTGACCCAACCAACTGTGTCTCCACCAAATGTGTTCCACCAACTGTGTCTCCACCAACTGTGTCTCCACTCAACTGTGTCTTCACCAACTGACCCAACCAACTGTGTCTCCACCAACTGTGTCTCCACCAACTGTGTTCCACCAACTGTGTTCCACCAACCGTGTCTCCACCAACTGTCTCCATCAACTGTGTCTCCACCCAACTGTGTCTCCACCAACTGTGTCTCACCAACTGACCCAACCAACCCTGTTCCATCAACTGTGTCCACCAACTGTCCCACCAACCTGTTCCATCAACCTGTTCCACCAACCGTGTCTCCACCAACTGCTGTTCCACCAACCGCAGACACCACCAACTGTGTCTCCACCAACTGTGACAGCACCAACTGTGACAGCACCAACTGTGTTCCACCAACCTGTGTCTCCATTCAACTGTGTCTCCACCAACTGTCTCCATCAACTGTGTCTCCACCAACTGTGTCTCCACCAACTGTGTCTCCACCAACTGTGTCTCCAACTGTGTCTCCATCAACTGTGACACCACCAACTGTGTCTCCATCAACTGTCTCCATCAACTGTGTCTCCACCAACTGTGTCTCCACCAACTGTGACAGCACCAACTGTGTCTCCACCAACTGTGTCTCCACCAACTGTGCTACACTCAACTGTGTCTCCACTCAACTGTGTCCCCACCAACTGTGTTCCATCAACTGTGCTCCACCAACTGTGTCTCCACCAACTGTCTCCATCAACTGTGTTCCACCCAACTGTGTCTCCACCAACTGTGACAGCACCAACTGTGTTCCACCAACCGTGTCTCCACCAACTGACCCAACCAACTGTGTCTCCATCAACTGTGTCCCCACCACTGTGTCTCCATCAACTGTGTCTCCACCAACTGTGTCTCCACCAACTGTGCACACCACCAACTGTGTTTCCACCAACTGTGTCTCACCTCAACCTTTGTCTCCACCAACTGTGTTCCCACCAACCGACCCAACCAACTGTGTTCCACCAACCGTGTCTCCATGAACCGTGTCTCCACCGACTGACTCCAACCAACTGTGTCTCCACCAACCTGTTCCACCAACCGACCCAACCAACTGTGTTCCACCAACTGACCCAACCAACTGCGTTCCACCAACTGACCCAACCAACTGTGTCTCCACCAACTGACCCAACCAACTGTGTTCCACCAACTGACCCAACCAACCGTGTCCCACCAACTGACCAAACCAACTGTGTCTCCACCAACTGACCCAACCAACTGTGTTCCACCAACTGACCCGACCAACTGTACTCCACCAACTGACCCAACCAACTGTGTTCCCACCAACTGACCCAACCAACTGTGTCTCACCAACTGACCAAACCAACTGTGTCTCCACCAACTGACCCAACCAACTGTGTTCCACCAACTGTCCCACCAACTGTGTCACCACCAACTGTGTCACCACCAACTGCTGTTCCACCAACTGTGTCTCCATCAACTGTGTCCCACCCCAACCGCAGTTCCAAAACCGTGTCACCACCAACTGTGTCACCACCAACTATGTCTCCAACTGTGTCTCCACCAACTGCAATTCCACCAACTGTGTCACCACCAACCGTACCACACCAACGTGTCTCCACCAACTGTGTCTCCACCAACCGTGTCACCACCAACTGTGTCTACATCAACTGTGTCTCCATCAACTGTGTCACCACCAACTGTGTCTCCACCAACTGTGTCCCCACCAACTGCTCCATCAACTGTGTCACCACCAACTGTGTCTCCACCAACTGTGTCTCCACCAGGTTCCAACCAACTGTGTTCCACCAACCGTGTCACCACCAACTGCATCCACCAACTGTGTCTCCACCAACTGTGTTCCACCAACTGTGTCTCCACCAACCGTTCCACCCAACTGTGTCTCCACCAACTGTTCCACCAACTGCGTTCCACCAACTGTCTCCACCAACTGTGACACCATCAACTGTGTCTCCACCAACTGTGTCCCCAACCAACTGTGTCTCCATCAACTGTGTCTCCACCAACTGTGTTCCACCAACTTGTCACCACCAACTGTGATCCACCAACTGTGTCTCCACCAACTGTGTCTCCACCAACTGTGTCACCACCAACTGTGCTCACCACCAACTGTGTCACCACCAACTGTGTCACCACCAACTGATGTTCCACCAACTGTGTCTCCACCAACTGTGACACCATCAACTGTGTCTCCACCAACTGTGTCACCACCAACTGTGCATCCACCAACCGTGTCTCCACTCAACCTGTGTCTCCACTCAACTGTGTCCCCACCAACTGCTGTCACCACCAACCGTGCATCCACCAACTGTGTCACCACCAACTGTGTCACCACCAACTGATGTCTCCACCAACTGTGTCTCCACTGTGTCTCCACCAACTGTGTCTCCATCAACTGTGTCTCCACCAACTGTGTTCCAACCAACTGTGTCACCACCAACTGCATCCCACCAACTGTGTTCCCAACTGTGTCTCCACCAACTGTGTCACCACCAACTGTGTCTCCACCAACTGTGTCACCACCAACTGTGTCTCCACCAACTGTGTCACCACCAACTGTGTCTCCACCAACGTGTCACCACCAACTGTGTCTCCACCAACTGTTCCACCAACCGTCACCACCAACCGTCACCACCAACTGTGTCTCCACCAACCGTGCATCCAAATCAACTGTGTCTCCATCAACTGTGTTCCACCAACTGATGTTCCACCCAACTGTGTCTCCACCAACTGTGTCACCTCACCAACTGTGCATACACCAACCGTGTCTCCACCAACTGTGTCTCCACCAACTGTGTCTCCATCAACTGTGTCTCCATCAACTGTGTCCCCACCAACCGTGTCTCCACCAACCGTGTATCCACCAACTGCGTCTCCACTCAACTGTGTCTCCACCAACTGTGTCTCCATCAACTGTGTCCCCACCAACTGTGTCACCACCAACTGTGTCTCCACCAACTGCATCCACCAACCGTGTCTCCATCAACTGTGTCTCCATCAACCGTGTCCCCACCAACTGTGTCTCCATCAACTGTGTCCCCACCAACTGTGTCCCCATCAACCGTGTTCCATCAACCGTCCTCCACCAACTGCAGTTCCACCAACCGTGTCACCACCCAACCGTGATCCACCAACTGAGTTCCACCAACCGTCTCCACCAACTGTGTCTCCACCCAACTGTGTCACCACCAACTGTGTCCCCACCAACTGTGTCTCCATCAACTGTGTCCCCACCAACTGTGTCTCCACCAACTGTGTCCCACCAACTGTGTCTCCATCAACTGTGTCACCACCAACTGTGCCACCATCAACTGTGTCTCCATCAACTGTGTCCCCACCAACTGTGTCACCACCAACTGTGTTCCACCAACTGTCTCCACCAACCGTCTCCACCAACTGCTCACCACCAACTGTGTCCCCACCAACTGTGTCTCCATCAACTGTGTCCCCACTCAACTGTGTCTCCACCAACCGTGTCCCACCAACTGTGTCTCCACCAGTCTCCATCAACTGTGTCACCACCAACTGTGTCTCCATCAACTGTGTCACCACCCAACTGTGTCTCCACCAACTGTGTCTCCACCAACTGTGTCTCCACCAACTGTGTCTCCATCAACTGTGTCTCCAACCAACTGTGTCCCCACCAACCGTGTCACCATCAACTGTGTCTCCACCAACTGTGTCTCCACCAACTGTGTCACCACCAACTGTGTATCCACCAACTGTGTCTCCACCAACTGTCTCCACCAACTGGACTCCACCAACTGTGTCACCACCAACTGTGTCTCCACCAACTGTGTCTCCATCAACAGACGCCACCAACTGTGCATCCACCAACTGCATCCACCAACCGTGTCTCCACCAACTGTGTCCCACCAACTGTGTCCCCACGAACTGTGTCTCCACCAACTGTGTCACCACCAACCGTGTCCCCACCAACTGTGTCTCCATCAACTGTGTCCCACCAACTGTGTCCACCAACTGTCTCCACCAACTGTGTCTCCATCAACTGTGCATCCACCAACTGTGTTCCATCAACTGTGTCCCCACCAACTGCACCACCAACTGTGTCTCCACCAACTGAATCACCACCAACTGTGTCCCACCAACCGTGTTCCACCAACTGTTCTCCACCAACCGTGTCACCACCAACTGCGTCTCCATCAACTGTGACGCCACCAACTGTGCATCCATCAACTGTGTCTCCCACCAACTGCGCATCCACCAACTGTGTCTCCACCAACTGTCTCCATCAACCGTGTCCAACCGTGTCTCCACCAACCGTGTCACCACCAACTGTGTCTCCACCAACCTGTCTCCATCAACTGTGACGCCACCAACTGTGTATCCATCAACTGTTCCACCAACCGTGTCCCCACGAACCGTGTCTCCACCAACCGTGTTCCATCAACTGTGTCCCCACCAACTGTGCTCACCACCAACTGTGTCTCCAACCGTGTCTCCACCAACCGTGACGCCCACCAACCTGTCTCCACTCAACTGCATCCACCAACCGTCTCCACCAACTGCATCCACCAACCGTGCATCCAACCAACCGTCTCCCAACCAACTCAGTCTCCATCAACTGTGTCCCCACCAACTGTGTCACCACCAACTGTGTCCCACCCCAACTGCGTCCCACCAACTGTGTCTCCATCAACTGTGTCCCCACCAACTGTGTCCCCAATCAACTGTGTCCCAATCAACCGTGTCTCCACCAACTGTGCTCACCACCAACTGTGTCTCCAACCAACTGTGTCTCCCACCAACCGTGTCTCCAACTGTGTCTCCACTCAACTGTGTCTCCATCAACGGTGTCCCCACCAACCATGCTTCCACCAACCGTGTTCCTCATCAACTGTGTCCCCACCAACCGTCTCTCCACCCAACTGTGTTCCACTCAACCAGGTTCCACCAACTGTGTCTCCACCAACTGTGTCCCACCAACTGCGTCCCCACCACCGTTCCACCAACCGTGTCCCCATCAACTGTGTCTCCACCAACCGTCCCCACCCAACCAGAGTCCCCACCAACTGTGTTCCAACCAACTGTGCATCCACCAACTGTGTTCCACCAACTGTGTCTCCACCAACCGTGTCTCCACTCAACTGTGTCCCACCAACTGCACACCATCAACTGTGTCTCCACCAACTGAGTCTCCACCAACTGCTCCACCAACTGCTCCATCAACTGTGTCACCACCAACTGTGTCTCCACCAACCGTGTCTCCACAAACTGTGTTCCAACTGTGCTCCATCAACTGTGTCTCCACCAACTGAGTTCCACTGACTGACCTAAATCCAACCTGTCTCCCAACTGTCTCCACCAACTGTCCCCACCAACTGTTCCACCAACTGCATCCACCAACTGTGTCACCCACCAAACCGTGTCACCCCACCAACTGTGTCTCCACCAACTGTGTTCCACCAACTGCACCCACCCAACTGTTCCATCAACCGCTCCACCAACCCGTTCCACCAACCGTGCTCCATCAACTGTGTCCACACCAACCTCCCCACCAACCGTGTCTCCACCAACTGCATCCACCAACTGTGCTCACCACCAACTGTGTCTCCACCAACCATGTCCCACCAACTGCTCCACCAACTGTGTCTCCACCAACCAGTTCCACCAACCAGACACCATCAACTGTGTCTCCACCAACCGTGTCCCCACCAACTGTGTCTCCATCAACTGTGTCTCCACCAACTGTGTTCCCAACCAACCGTGTCACTCACCAACTGTGTATCCACCAACTGTGTCTCCACCAACTGTGTCTCCACCAACTGTGTCACCCACCAACTGTGTCACCAAACTGTGTCACACCAACCGTGTCACCACCCAACTGTGTTCCACCAACTGTAACCCAAATTAACTGTGAAACCATCAACTGTGTTCCACCAACTGTCCCAACCACCAACTGCATCCACCAACCCTCCATCAACCGTGTCTCCATCAACTGTGTCCCCACCAACTGTGTCACCACCAACTGTGTCTCCAAACCAACTGTGTCTCCACCAACTGTGTCACCACCAACTGCGTCTCCACACCAACCATGTCTCCACCAACCTGTGTCTCCCACCCAACCAGCTCTCTACCAACTGTGCACCCCACCAACCGTGTTCCACCAACTGCAGTTCCACCAACTGTGTCTCCACCAACTGTGTCTCCACCAACTAAAGCACCACCAAGCCACCACCAACTGTGTCACCACCAACTGTGTCTCCACCCCAACTGTGTTCCACCTGTCTCCACCAACCGTGTCTCCATCAACTGTGTCTCCACCCAACTGCAAGTTCCAAACCAACTGTGTCACCACCACCAACCGTGCATCCACCAACTGTCTCCACCAACTGTGTCCCACCCCAACTGTGCTCACCACCCAACTGTCCCCCACCCAACTCAGTCACCACCAACTCCCACCAACCAGTCCCACCCAACTGTCCACACCAACCAGTTCCACCAACCGTGTCTCCAACCTACCAACGTGCTCCATCAACGGTGTCCCCACCAACCAGTGTCCCACCCAACTGTGTCCCCAGCCAACTGTGTTCCAACCCCACCCAACCGTCCTCCATCAACTAGTTCCAACCGTGTCTCCACCAACTGTGTCTCCACCAACTGTGTCTCCACCAACCGTGTCCCCATCAACCGTGTTCCACCAACTGTCTCCACCAACCAGTCCCTACCCAACTGTGTTCCACCAACTGTGTATCCACCAACTGTGTTCCACCAAAGCAAATTGAAACGAAGTACTTGAT